TGGTAGCTCAGCTTCGATCGGCTATCTCGCAAATTGCAACGTTACGTATTGTGTACCTGTTGATATTTTTGTAAATTTGGTTTTTAGGAATTCTCTCACCCTTACAGGTGTGAAAGGTAACACACCCCTTTCGACACTTATTTCTTTCCTTTTTTTTTTTTTTTTGAAAGCTTATTTGGAAAATTGACACGTACGAAAGCCGACAATTATACGTATTATTTTTTTCCTCGGATTGATAATCTCTTACTTGCCAGTATAGCACGCGTTATCTGTAGGAAATATGGGACTTTTTGACGCAAAAGTTCCGTCCAAACGGGCAAAAGCCTGCAATAGGTTGTCCACGTTATCGACTGCAATTACTGCCTTTATCTGATAGTTCGCTGTGTATACGTACCGTAGGTTTCAGAGAAATCACGCCTTTTTAAAAATCGCCGATTCTCATCAATGGAGCAGCAGCAGTGGCAGCAGCAACGTCGTTATACGCGCTTCGCTCACAATACGTTCAATCGTATATGCCGAAATCGTTCCACGAAAGCGAAGCGATCCGCGTACAATAGAACGCGTATATGGCAGAGACGAAAGAGACAGAATGGGAGAAAATGAAAAATAAAAAAATACCAACAAACGCTGGTCTAATTGTTTTGGTTTTGAGTTTAAAGCGCCGATTCACTGGTATAGATCGGCTCTTGTTTGGCTCCTCCATGCCCGCGCGCGTGTTTATACACATGCACACTCGTAAACATGGCGAGCCGCGAGAGAGGAGAAGAAACCTTTGTAGTTTTCACTCTCGTGAGAGGGAGGTAGTTTAATCGAGGCCGTGCAGACGTCGCGTGCGACAAAAGGGAAGTGCGCCTTTATAGGCGAATGGAAACCTCTTGGATGCATCTTTTACAGCTACGCCAATGTTCTCTCGCCTCTCTCTGTCTTTCTCTGCGTGTATATCTCACACGGTGTAAGGGATTCTCTCGGCGCTGGTAATCTCAGGCGCGCGCGACTCGCGCGTAGTTTAAAGAGACGCGCCCACTGCCCTCTCGTATACACGTATGAATGTATGGACGTATGTGTGTGTGCAACACACACGCAAGCTCGAATCTCGTCAAGAGCGTGAGAGCAGCAGCAGCAGCCGCGCGACACGAGCACGCATGATTTTTCGGCGATGCGATTGTACGTATATATATAAAGCACACCAGCGGCAACAGCATCAGCAGCTCTATTCGTCGTACACACGATCCACATACACTTCCACGGGCCACGGACACACGCTGCACTCTTGGGATTCTTCCTATCTGGTTTACACCACTGCGCCAAAAGTTCCCATGGAGCTTGGAAGTTCTGACGATTGTCGTCGCGCTTATTCAATTCCTTCGCTCTCTCTCTTTTTTTCATTTTATTTCGAGCACTCGTAATTTTTTTAACAAAAATTGTTCGAGATAATTGACTTCGTCATACGATCGGAAGCAGAATTTACGAGAGTTGCGACTTGCGTCGAGTCGAGCATTCATCCTCAAAATCGCCCGAAACTTCTAATTATTCACCGTGCCAGCGCATACGTATAAATATATACGAGCCGCGTGCTTTACGTGCATCTATATATATACGTCCATCCACGCGATGAGAGATAAACGATGAAAATGAATACCTCTAACTTCTTTTTTCTCCCAAAATCTTCCTCTTTCTCTCACTACGGAGCTCTCGTTCCGAGTATTCTTCGGGGCTACTTTTGGCGACTGCGCGTGTGCCCGTGTGTGTCTGTACTGTCCGCACGCGCGCGTGTGAGTGCTCCGTGTGTGCGCGTATACATAGATAGGAGCGCCGCATCCGGCCCAATCAAGTCGCAGTCATTATATGCAGATTGTGGTAGACCCATAAAAATGTATGTGCTTGCTGCTGATCTTCGTAACTTTGAAAAACGTTGTTATGCAAGCCCCATGCGAAATGCTCGTCGTATGTACTAGTGTGTTTTACACATTTTTCCCTGCAGCTCGATGTTTAAAATTACAAAAGAAAAAGAAGAGAATCCTGTGCACACACACACACACACACACACCGCGAAATTAGGACTAATGCAATTTTTTGTTCTAAAACCATCGGTGCCACGCACGATCGCAATCCTTTCACCCATTCAGGGTCGCGCGCAAATATTTTTGGTTTCTGCGGTAAATGTATCGTGTGCCGATCGTGGCGCATCGACACTGGTGTAAAGCGATCATCGGCGAGCTCCGACCGCAGAATGATTATACAATTGTTATCGGAGGAAATAAAGCCGAGCTTATAGGTAGCTCGGGTGCTTTGTGCGCGTCTTCGCGTTGAGATTCTCGATATATTGTTACACATGCGACGATGATCACATGCACGCGCTTGCCCCGTGACAAATCTCGGAATTCCGACACGCGATTACAGCACGTGACTCAATCCCACAGAGCTAGTGCATAATATCTAAGCTAAAGTACAATAAATTGTCACATAAAAAAAATGGTATATTTTGCACCTAGGGAGTAAAAAATATACAATTATATGTACAATTATTAAAAAAAAGTATGGAGGAAGTTTGCGGGGCATTTAAATCATGATTGTTTTCACGCAATAACCGGAAGAATCAGCGAGAGGTCAATAATCGCCCGTCGATTAAGAAAAGTGTCTCGAATTACGCCTGAGAAAAATTTTTCCGTTCTCGATACAAGATACGCGAATACTTTGAAGAATCTCCATTCCCACGCGCGATCTCTCGCGTACTTTTTGGTCTTCGCGCCGTACATATACGCACTGCACACACGCATGTGCATATATCCAGCTTCGAGCCGCGTACAAGAACTTCATCGTAATTTTTTGTTTGACACGCCTGCGAAGCATTTTCGTACGATGATCGTGTGAGTACTCGTGTCTTTGCTTTATTCCTCCGAAAAGTATGCCAAAGTTCCCAAGTGATCGATTGCATTTAATGACGAATCAATGGGCGATCATGCGGTATTCTGTAGGTACAAACAACGATCGATCGCAAGTCGATCGCTACTTACTCGTAGTAGTACATAATAATGTAGGACGAATGATGGTACATCACGGCGATCGGAATGTCGATGCTTACATAGAAAAATAGCGTGTAACCTAGCCAATTCTCACGCATCTTCCTTTTGTAAATGAACCGACGTAAGACGCTGCGGAATCACGCACAGGCCCCCGTGAGTGTGTGTGTGTGTGCCACCTTACAGAGAGAGAGAGAGAGAAGTACTGTATGTACTACGCACATAAAGATTGGCATGCGCCCACCTCAAAGGTGAATAAAATAAAAGGGGACCCTATTATACCATGCCCAGGCAAAATGCAATCGAGTGGCGCTTCGTGGAAGAGCCGTTGGGGGTGCAAAGCAGCAGCGGCAGTAATGTCGCAATGGATCAGAGTACTACGCGTTTCTCGCGCGCTGCCGTCTTCTCTATTGGATTTGTTGTTTGTGTGTGTGTGTGTTGCGTCTTGGTAACAGTGATGGGAATTCTCGTACAGTTGCAACGCGTTCATTGAGAAAACAAATCTCTTCCGGGCCGTGCTCTTCACTGGCACAAGGTGAAAAGCACGAGAGCACAGGTACACGTGATCTGTATTTATACCGTGAATTCGAGAGAGGAGTCCCATGCCACAAAGCGAACCGCGCGTGGGTCCAAGAAGATGTATAAATACAAGGTACCCCGCGCGCATATCGCACAATGAGAAATTAGCTCATCGACATGGGTTCTTTGTATATTTCCATTATTTTTTTTTATCCTTGCGCATCTTTAATTCATACCACGAAAACAAACATCGATGATGAATTTTCTTGATGACTGTCGCTTGAAAAACAAATCGACATCTTTCGTCCTTTCCGTATAAGTTTTAATAAACAAACGATTCGTATCCGGTCGCGAGAAAATTGAGCTTATTCGTCGTGCCGATGGGCACACACGAAGAGCGAGCTGCTCGCGGCTGCATCACGAGCAATCTGCGCTGCACTTACTCTTCTTCTCTCTAGGGCAATTTGCGTTCATTCACGATATACACACCATAACTCGAGCATCGTCGTATGCACACACACACACGGTGCTGAGATTTTTACTCTCTTTCGCGCGTATTATATACGTGTGCTGCGTGCATGTGTATACACGTCTATGTATACATGCTAAGCTTTCACTTTCGTTGCAGAAGTCGCCGCCGCCGCCGCCGCCGCCGCCTTGTATACATAACATGCGCCTCTCTCGCTGTATAAGCGTTGTCGGTGGGAACATCATCGCGATGCTTTCGTGATGCGCAGCAAGTTTCATTCATGAGTGGCCAAGGTCGTACCGCATCGTCGCTTATGTGCTGCAGCTCCTCTCCTTCTCTTCTTCTTGCTTCTTTTTCGGGGCCTGCTCGTCTTCTTCTTCTGCTTTTTCTTGCCTCCTCTGCTTCTTCTTCTACTTCTTCTCAATGGAAGCGATTGTGATTTTTGCGCTGAATGGCGCTTGAATTCCAATTGCGGCTTTGATCCTGAAAGAAGAATTTTTCTTTACCTTAGCTCTATGCACACGGTCTGTCTCTCTCCTTTATTGTCTTCTAAACAGCAATTATGGCGTTTTTGGCTTCGGTGCAGTGAAAAGATGGAAGAAGAGCGAAAGAGAGAGAGAGAAAGTGCGAATATTCATTAAACTATTTAAGCTGATGTGTTTGCAGAAAAACATTTGTATACAAACGCGAGAGCGAGATTATTTCGAGAAAGCGCAAAAACCGCAAAATGAGAGGGTATATTTTCTTCAGTTCTTGAAGCTATTAACTTTATTCCTTTTTTTTTATGCAACTTTGGAATTTTGTCTATATTGAAAAATAAAACCAAAACGCGAGGAGATGCGAGCCTTATGTGCATATTTAGATTTGATATTTGAATTAATTGACAATCCTAGCCTAAACCAATAGTATTAAAAACAATTAAAATTGAATTAATTTTCATACAGCTCTGAAAATATCTAAATTAACGTTATCATTTTTTTTTTCATTCGCAGGAGAGCACAATCAACAAAGGAACCGCTCGAAGAGTCGGTAGAATCGAATGAAGAATTGATCAGAGGGCAATACATAAAGGAGGCTCTCTACAAACCGTCAATAACTCGCAACCAATTTTTAGGTAAATTACACATACCGTCGTTCTTTGTTCGATAACTCGCACCAGAGAGACAAACCGATTGCAATGTTCTCTCTTGCGCAGCAAAAATTGTCGCCACGTAAGAAGTGCGAACTTTCTCTCTGTCTCCAAATTCGTTATCATCGAAATTCCATCATTATCAAACGACAAGCAATATCCATTGAAATTCAGTTGGTCTTAAATTTCGGCCCGATATATGTGGTGTATGTATTTAGGAGGTGTTCGCACGGGGTCCAAAGATTCTCGGAACGGAGCTGTGTCGCGGTAAAATATTGATCGAGGCTCTGTTTATTTTTTTTTATTTTTTTCAGCACTCCTTCGAGCGGGTCTGTGCTGCACTGCACACAGCTTTTTACGGACAGACTCTCGTAAAATAGCTGCAGACACGATGCGCGAGTACACGCGAGGCTCAACGTGCCGTAAATTGATACATACGTGTGTTCGGAATGAGTTGTAGTCGTAGTAGTCTGACTAGTTGCACAAGTAGTAAAAGCAGTAGTAGTATAAGTGCTTGACTTGCGACTTCCGTTCGTGCAGACGGCAAATGCTCGAAAGTGGAATAGATAATTCGTCAAAAAAAGGCTCTATCGCCTTTAAAAAAAAAAAATTGTTAAATCAAAAAGGCGAACAAAAGCTCGAGCAATCAATTAAAACTATTCAATGTCGAACTTCTTTAACTCGAGCATACCGAAAGCCGACATTCGTGTGAACAGCAAATGTAAAAAATAGAGAATAAATATCATTAAGGTGTACTGCAGCTAGATCGAGCGCAGTTACTATACGAGCAAGGCCGTGCGATCGGCGCTCTTATTTAGCGCGATAAATGATGATTCGCGATCTACTCCTTATAAATACAATACGCTGCTGGCCGCTTCGTGCTTGTGTTTCGATGCGTATACCTATATATACCCTTGGCGTGGCTCTGCGCCATATGGTTTTTGCCGCGCGCCTCTATGCCAAGGGTACCGGTGGCGGTGCATTACTGCACCGCACGCATACCCACTGCAATGTGCGATCGTATATACACGGCGTTTATTGTACGGAACTCTGGCCTATTGCCCGCGTGCAAACTCGCACGCATATTGTGGCGCGCAAGAAAGAGAGAGAGAGAGATGTACACGCGATTGTCTCTCGAACTCGATACGGAAAGCTGCGTTTGATCCGACGAGCTTTAAGAATATTATTTGTGGCTCTTTGAATTCCTATGGATATATCACGCGGTACAGCGTGAATGCGCCTGGGGTGACGCAACGATCGCGGGAAAATATGGGTACAATAGCTGGGACGACAGTCGGGATAAACGGCCTTGCGAATCCTTCAAAATTTCGCAGTAACTTCCCTTTTCCACGGTGGATTCGAATATATGCTCCACGCATGGTCAAAGCAAAATCATGACGACATGCTTCGAGTGGTCAAAGAGGATTTCCTTTTTTCTCTCCCTCTCTTTCTTACTCTCTTGATGCTCCGTAGGGTGAATTGAATTTCATAGTGAATAAAAGTCACCCCTTAGTTGTATAAAAATGTCAAATTCAATCCATTTATCAATCCTATTTTTTCTTTTCGTAATATCGGTATTTGCGTTAGAGTTGCTCATCAAAGCTGGCCATATTTGTCGGACACGAGCAAATTGACCTCGTTTCTACCCGGAAACCCAACCAAGATATCGCAATTTCATAAAGGTGCATACAACAACAAAAACGTAATAGGGACAGCGAAGAAACCCCGCTTTTTTGTCAATGTTCTTTTATACGCATCACGTATAATGTATACAAGAAACGAGAATTGCTCCTTGTCCCCGAGTATGTGTGATGCACCGTGTCATTGTACCCTTGTTGTCTTGACGCATGCACGTATGCACACACAACACCGGCATAAACGCGAAATTGTTCTTATCGCGTGTATAAGCTCGGTGGTACATTGCGGTGCGACGGAAAAGAGGGTGGGCCCAAAAACGCGTAAGGTGTTGGCACTGCCGAGACAGCAGCCCCCTTTCTCGAGGAAGTCATTAGAGATTAAGAATACGAGTGTGGTCGACCTGGCTATATGGCGACCAAGACACACACGTGTGCGCGCGCCTCGTCTTCCTCGTCGAAAAAGTGTCCACATCCTTTTTGATAATTTCTTTTTATTTATTCTTTTTCTCTCTTCAGGAAGGAGAACGACTCGGCCTTTAATCTTAGTCCACGCATCGGGATCTTCGTTTCCTCAAGAAAGTTAATTTCTCCGCAGTTCACCGCTTGCGCATAAGCGTATAGAGTCGCACGCGGTGTACATAAACGCGCGCGATGCACTTTTATCGTAATTCTAAAATTACCTTAAACGCGCGTGAGCCTCGTGTGTTGTATCATACGTAAAAAAAAAGTATCCGCTTCTCTCTTTCTCTCTGCTTTCCTGTGTGTGTCCGCGCGTTTCCTCTAAATAATTATCAGTGCGCGCGCGCTCGCTCGCTTCTCTTATCGTACTTCCGATCGAGCTTTGTAAACACGCTCATCACATTTCTATATATACAGGCGATTCTAGAGGCATCGAAACACGCGCGGCTCCAGATAAATTGAATATTTCGGCTCGTTGAAGAATAACTCCTGCCCCCTTCGCATTTTTCGCCAATTGTTTTTCTTACCCTAGACCTGGTACTCGCTTTTGTTACGAATAAGAGAGACAGAGAGAGAAGGAATAAGGCGACGCAGCATGACGTGTGCGTCGATGCTCAACAGGTGCTTGACTCGAAATAATAACAGGCGCGCAGTTGCGCGGCGCACCGGCTTCGATTGGGGTGCACTGTTGGCGCTGACACATGTCCGCCTTGACGTTTATAAGTGTATACGCGCGCTTATTTATTATATGCAGACTGCCGCTGCATCGACGTCGATTTTTCCGAATGTGTAAGCTCATTTTTTTATCCGAGAATTCGGCTCCTTCGAAACGTTTCTCGTACTTGATAATCGTCGCCAAAACTTAATCGGTTAACGGGTGTAATGAGGTAACCAGTTTGTTTGTGCGCCGGCTTGATTCTTGGTATATATACTTTTGCATCGTCAACTATGATACATACTTTCTTCGCTCGATCGTGACTCACTCAATTAAAAGAGTCGTCCGCGCGTTCGAGACGAGCTTGTTTACATCGGCCGAAAAAAAGACACAGACGTTGCAAAATTTAGGTATTTTTATTGAATGAGACGAATTAGGATCCGTACACAAATAGTTTCTCAGACCAATTATTCTATGCTTATCCTTTCGCTTCACACGCATAAATCATGCACACTTTTATTGTCGTTGCAGTTCGTTTACCTTTGCGACAGTATTTCACATAAGTTAATTACTGTTAACGATTGATATTAATTTGATTGTTTTTTCTTTTATTGTTTCAGATATTATCTTGAATGACAAGGACAAAGAAGTTTAAAAAAGCACGAGAAACGACCCGCTGGAGAAAATATAAGAAAATCGGTTTACCACAAACGTGAACATAGGTAATATGTGGTCGAGGTATGGCAAATCAAAGAGCAAGAAGAAGCGCAATAGGGTTGTTAAAAATGACCTGGTGAACGGAGAGCTGGACACTTCCACAGATATCGAAGTAAATGGTCTGTTGAACGGGACACTGAATGGAGAGCTGGATAGTTCTAAGGATATTGAACAAGAAAGTGAACTTTCTGACGGGACGCTGAATATTGAGCTCAATAGCTCTAAAGATATTGAACAAGAAAGTGAAGTGTCTGACGGGACTCTGAATAGTGAGCTGGATAGTTTGAAAGACATTGAACAAGAACATGAACTGCCGAACGGATCGACGATCGAAGAGCTGGACAATTCCAAAGACGTTGACGAAGATGTCAGCGACACAGCGACCACGATTACGACGACGACGGCAACAGACACCTCGGAATTTCCCGAGTTCTGTCCGCTCACCGGCAAAAAATTAGTCTGGAAAGAGGTTCGGGTCAAAATGAAGCGGGTGTCGATCGATCTATCCTCGAGCAGTCGCGAGAACCACGAGCACGACGAAAGCAACGACAACGACAGCGAACAACCGAGAAAGTACATAAAGCGAGAGGTGGTCAAAGAGGAGTTTGAGGTCGAGGCGATACTGGACAAGGCGGTGTCGAACAACACGACTTACTACCTCATTAAGTGGAAAGGCTGGGCGGAGGATTTCAACTCGTGGGAGCCCAAGCGCAATCTCAAATGCAAAAACCTGCTGGATGTATTCGAATTCGAGGACCATCGTTTCCAGATGGTCCAGACCTTTCGAAAGCTGGTGAATTTCAACAGGCCCAGCCGGGGACAAATGGTGCGCTACATGCTCGAGCTCAAGCGACACAATAGCAGCATCGACGATCCGATCAACTGGGATCCGTTCTACGAAAAATTGGCCAAGTTCAACAAATCGCCGACGAGCGCCTGGAGCGCGGAAGTCCTCCGGGACCTGAAGGACGAGGTGTTTCACGCGCTGACCAAGCAGGAGCGCGTCAAGCAGCTCAAGACCCTCTCCGACTGGGAGGACGAGATGAACGACATCGCCAAGAATCAGCCGAACATCAAGGTGGAGAACGAGGTGGATCTGGAGGGACCGCCGGCCAACTTTACGTACATCAACGTCTACCAGGCAACGGAGGGCGTCATCATCCCCGAGGACCCGATAATCGGCTGCGGATGCGACAACTGCGACTGGAAGAAGAGGGACTGCTGCTACGCCCAGTACGGCGCGTTGTTCCCGTACACGGCCACGGGTCGTATCCGCGTGAAGCCCGGCACGCCCATCTACGAGTGCAACAAGCGCTGCAGCTGCTCGGACGACTGCCGCAATCGCGTCGTGCAGAAGGGCTCCAATGCGAAGCTCTGCATCTTTCGCACGGACAACGGCCGGGGCTGGGGTGTCAAGACGCTGCGAGGCATCACCAAGGGCACCTTCGTCATACAGTACGTCGGCGAGGTCATCACCAACGAGGTGGCCGGTGTACGCAGCAAGAAGCACGAGCAGACCGGTCGCACCTACCTCTTCGATCTGGACTACAACGAGCCCGACGGCAGCCCGTGCAAGTACACGGTCGACGCCGAGGAGCGCGGCAACGTGTCGCACTTCATCAATCACTCCTGCGAACCGAATCTCGCCGTGTACGCCGTCTGGATCAACTGTATGGATCCGGACATGCCGCAGCTCGCTTTATTCGCCACCCGTGACATCAAGCAGAACGAGGAGATCACGTTCGATTACAATTCGCAGGGCCAGAAGCTCGATCAGGGAAACATTCGATGCAAGTGCGGCGCGGCCGGCTGCAAGCGATATCTTTTTTAACGAAAAAAAAAAAAAAAAAGTTAATTAATTAATTAATCCGTAGCTTCGCACTTTTGTATATTTGTACACTGGAGATAATTCTGGTTTAGATTAACGTGAAAATTGATAGAACATGTAGTATGCTGGTAGTGGACAAGCAAAAAGAAATCTATTTTTGTACAATCGAATCTTCTGTAGAGTGCGATTCAATTTTGAAGCCTCTTACGAAAAGTAGGATATTTACATTCAAGTTAACACATAAACTTCTTACTTTTCGTAAGGGGCGTCGATTTGTAGTGTAAACTTGTTATAAGTATTTGATAAGTTGATGAGAGCACCAGACAGTTTATTGAGTCGTTTTTTATATATTTTAGTGTAAAAAGAAATTGTTGGCGACTACATGAACGTTAATTTTAAATATTATAAAAAATGATTGTATTTTGTAACATATTCTATTATTATACTACGTATGAATAGAAACGAGATCAATTTTTTAAGTCTATGGAAGATTCGCTGTCTCGACAAACAAAATGTTAATCTTGTAAATTTTTCCTCTTACAAAGAGCTCACGAAACCTGACTGTAAGCTCTCGTTGTAGAAAATTTGATGAGATTTTGTTTTCGAACAATAAATGAACTATATCTATTATATATATATAATGTAAGCTCGAAAGTTCTTTGATTGCTTTTAAGTCAGTGATTTCATTGTATAATAATTATTAATATTATATGATTCAATATGTATCATACATACCAGGCAAGTTCTTATATTTAAATAAATTGGAGCAATGACCTATTATAGACCTAGTTAAATATGAATCATTCAATTTGTAAAATAAAAAAAAATAATGCGTGAATAATAATAATAGACAATGAATTAAACATAGATGACTTTTCATTTCGCCTTGCTACGTGTCAAGTGTCCATATCTATGTAAATTATATACAAAGTGTAATCTTCAGCTTGAAACGCGGTACGAGCACGTGCAAAAGAAACTACGATATAAACAACGGCCGTCAGCTGGTGGTGAAATAAGCGGCACGCGTGCAATTTTGTTAAACGACAGTTCTTTATATATATACTGTATGTCTGTATGTATGCAGTCGCGAGCACGGGCACCAAGAAGCTCTTATTTCTCGCGGGCATTTAGAACTCGTAAAGACGAAAAGCATAAAAATGACGCCTGCACACAAACCGGTAGAGAAGTAAGTGTAAGTGTATGCAAAAACGATCGGTATTATGTGCATAAGCTGCAGTTTTTTCAATGCCGTCGCTGTTGGCGGTCGCATCTGTGGGCCCGCATTAACACACTGCACCGCCGCATGGGTCCGCGCGCGCTTTTGTATCGACTGCACACGCGGCAGCAGCAGTGAAGGAAATGCGCGCGAGAATTTCGCGCTCAAAGTTAGCTGGCGCGCTCACGGCCAGAGGAAGAAAGAGAGTCGTCTTCGTCATCATGGTGCTGGTATTATTGCATCGTGGCAGTAAACATCGCAGCCATTATTCCGGCTGCGTATGCTGTAGCAATAATGCATACACATGCGCGCATGGCTCCAGTGCTTATTGTACATACGGTGTATCCTTGAGCACGAGTAAATAATACGCGCATAATTTCGAACTGCGCGCAGGACGATTGTTTTACGACTTTTCTTTTCGCGGGTTTTTACATACACAATAAACATCGAGACGACCGCGTGTGGGGGGCTCGATTTTTCGCGCGTTATATTATACGATCGCTCGGATATCAGGCCGAGTCGTGTGCGAGGCGGATAATAAGGGCGCGCGAGGCGTTGAATAGACACGTTCACAAGTCAGAAGCGTATAATTAAGTCTTTACAAGAAAATCATAGGCTTTGCAACTACTAAACTAATTATAATTGCTACGTTGGCCGCCGAGGTATGCATAATTATGAATAAATGAATCGCTTATGAGAGCGATGAAATTGAGTCAAGCAGGCGGAAAAACGATTACGACTCATTTTACGGCTACCGCGTACACTCAGCGCGGCGGCTTTTAAATATTATTCCTCCGAAGTCAAGTCGTTTATTATATTATCGTTGTTATATCCTAGTCGAAAAGTTCGAGGCACGTTTCGTCGTGTTCGAATGGATGCAAATATAATTTTCCTCGATGAAACGGCGATAATCCTCGAACGCCATTCTACGCTGGACCGTTGGTGGCTTTTAGGCAAATTATTTCTTCAGCAGCTGCACGGCTATTCTCGCGAGTCATCGAGCTACGATCGCGCGACAGAACGTATTCCGTATACGATATATATATCGTGCAGCGCGGATCAACGATGCGTGATTTCTTACGTGCAGCCGCGCGAATACTGCCTTCACCAAAACATCCTGCCCTTATGCGCGTGTATATGTACAGACCTCCGAGGAAACTTCTTCTCGGGAAGTCGAGTGAAATTACGACGAGGGACGGCCCCGGCCGCATTCTGCATTTTATATGTATACCTGCGTGTACGAGTCGCAATGATAATGCACGCGCGTCGTATATTTTAAAGGTATAAATAAAAGACGGTCGAAACTATTTTCTATATCAGCGACTCGCATCGTGCGTACATAGGTAACGAGAAGAAAGTAATCGACCAATAGTAATTTCTAATAAAATGAAAAATAATAAAATAAAATGGAGTGGTAAAAAAGGAAACTCGTCCGAGTGTCGAATGATTCGTAAGAAGGCGTTGTTTATAGGCGTAAGTGTAGAGTGCGGGTGGAGTCGGAGGTGCCGGCGCGACAATTCGACAAGTAAAAAAGAATAAAAGAGAAAAGTGAGAGAGACCCCCGTGATCGGCCGCTATATGAAAATGCAAAAAAAATAAGTCGCCAAATTTGCAAAAGAAAGAGAAGCGAGACAAATAAAAGCAAATGCACCCTATGCGTGCGTATAGGTGCAGCATGTAATAGTGGTAGGTATGCAGCAATAGAAGTCGTGGCCAAAGGTACGGTTGGACAGGAAATTGGGCCGATCGCATCTCTCGGCTAGTCTTCTTCTTCTTCGCCCGCCTCGTTATATTATAATACGGACTCCCCGAACCCGGGCATTATCTCGGGTGTAAGTGTATTTTCGATTATGTATACATTAATGCTATAGCTGCGGCCCAAAGGGTGCAGGAATATCCGAGCCTCGATCGAGCGAGGCGTTTCTCGCGCTCTTCGATTGCCAATACACCGCGCCATTTTTTTCTCTTTATATTTTTCTGGTCATTGTTTTCATTTCTGTGTGTACACGGCTTCGATGCGTAAAATCTTCATCGGCGATCGAGCTGAGAAATCAGCTCTCGCTCTATTGTTAATTCGCGCTAATATTATTGATCGATCGTTATTACCTGTATAAAATTTTCAAACTAATTCAAAATTTTGCTCACCGACGTAAATTATTTACAAATTAAACGTAGCGCGTATCGTCGTTGGCAGTCGTCGGCTTTCTATTCTACTCTCCGAATGTAAACAGAGCGCGTAAGCTCGCACATTCACGTTACCAAAATATCGCCATAGTCTTCGATCGTCGATCGCAAGCGGTTGAATGAATATTTCGCGCGCACGCCCTCGTAAAGCGGGTGATGAATTTTTATAAAAACAACCTATCGACTATCCGAAAGTTGTAAACTTTCATAAAAATACATCGTCCGCCAGACACTGCAGCATCTGTATAATTCAAAGTAAAAAGATTCATTGAAATACTTATACAAGGATGGGTGACAACACTCCGCAAAGACAGGATCAGCCCGAGGCCGGAGAAGAAGGATCGCAAATTCCGCGTTTCGCGACGCAAGATCTTCTGCTGAGATGCCGGAGGTGCGGAGAGATCGCCCGGCGCACCGGACTGTTCCAGTGCCTGATCATCGACAGCTGCCGCGCGGTATTCCCCGAGAAAGAGTGCATGATCGCGCACATGAAGCTGTCCCACCCCGGAGCGTCGAGGCCTTGCAAGCCCGGACCCTCGACCATAGTCTGCGTCTCGGCCGGTTGCAAGCAAAAGTTCACGTGCGAGGCCGCCTATCTCGCGCACCTCGACTCGGTTCACGGCTTGCACAAGTTCTTCTGCGCCGGCTGCCACCTCATCATCCAGGCGGACAGGAGGTCCAAGGACCCCTACAAGCACAAGGTCAAGGGAAGCGGCAAAGGAAAATTCAGAAAGGCCGAAGACTTGACGAGAAGCGAAAAACGAAGGGCCAGCAAGCGGCTCGTTAAACATTTTGCTCCCAAGACTCTGTTCAAAAGCGAGGAGGAGACAGAGGACGACGACACCGACGAAGAAGAAGATGAAGAAGAAGAACAACAAAAGAAAGAGGATCCAGGTAAATCGAAAACAAAGAAAGTATTGGACTACGTGGGATTAACCAACCTTTTCGGAAAAATGCGGAGAAAACGAACCCACAGTTCCTCGGGACCGGACAGTACAAGCTCGAGTAAAAATGCGCTCGATATAATTCCGCCAGACAATCAGTCGCCGCTCAAAGATACCATGAGTACGATTCCGGTAGGCGGTTACCGTGCCGCGGAATTTCTCATTCAGAATCAAGACAAATTGGCTCCACCGCAGAAACCTCCTGTAACGAGCCCGGCTGGGCCAACGACGGGTCTATCCGCCGCAGAATTGATCAATCGAGCTCAGAGCCAAGCGCTCAAAGTCACACCCACCAAAAGCTCGCCAGCTCGTTCGTCGCGGTCCACTCCGGGTAAAGCCGATCAAGCTCGAAGTATACCGATGGTTCTCACGCCTACTCAGAGTCCGGTTTCTCATCGAGCTGCTGCCGCATCGGCGGAGCCGAATCGTCCGGCTGAAAATCCACCGATGCTACTTACGCCGACTCAGAGTCCGGTTATTCTGCGGCGAGCTGCTGCTGCGGCGGCGGAACCGAGTCGTCCGGCTCCAGAGCCACCGGTCGGACGCCCGGCATCGGCCGATATGCGCCCGCTGGAAGCTTACCCACACCCTGGCTCGATCACGTACGTACTGATCGAAGATGACTTGTTTCCCCTGAGCCCGAGGTCGAGCGCATACTACGGTCTCGACACGAGGAGCGGACATACACCGGCCGATAAGAGCGGGGCAGTTCAGAGGTATGCCGAGTCAAAACGTCGGGCGCAACTCGGTGAGTCCAGGCTCAGAGACTTATTACTTGGGGTCGATAGTGCGGCTACTACTACTGGCCGGCGTTCGGTAATTAAAACTCCTAGCCCGGCTCAAGGCCAAGCAGTCAGACCCAAAATCAGCCCGGACTCCGCAATCGAAACAACTCCTCCGGTAGTCTCGTCCACTACGAGTCCGGAAATCGATAGCACTCCTGGAAATCAAGGTCTTCCGGCTCGAAGACGTGGATACCAACTATCAAGCCCGACGGGACTCACACCCGAGACAAGTCCGGAAATTACGCACAAGTCTTCGCTAGAAAATTTGATGAAAATGGTCGATAAGATACCACTACCCGGTCAGTCCGTACTCAAAAAAGTAAAATTGTCACCCGGTACGAGTCCGAACCTCAATCGTCGGCCTACTCTGCCACGGCCGCAACGTCGGGCTCAAGAGCCACGTCGAGCTCAAGAGCAAGCGTACGAGGATACTCCGGAATACAAGGAAGAACAACGTCGTAAAAATATGACTCCCGAAGAATTGAGGCAAGCTTTTCTCGAGAAGGTCGAAGTCGAAAAGCGCAAGCTGCAAGAAAACGCCGGCCGGAAAGCCAACATCTTCGATGTGTTCGGAGCCATTAAAAATGCCGCGAGTACTGTTCCAGGTGGAGAAAGTGTACTTCCAGCTTCTATATTGGAAGAGCATGTCTTGAAAGGGGGGTCGGATCACACTGGAACGTCTTCGGGCAGAAGCGAAGAAGAAGAGGAAAGATTTTTCATTGAACATTCACGAAAAAAATTTGATACGAGTATGAGTGGCGGAATTTCTGCGCCTCAATATAGCTCGAAATCCTCCAAGGAAGATGCACCGCCTGCGCGCAGAGATTCGCCCGCCAATCTTTGTGATTTTGTAGATATAACGCCAGCCATACGGAACCCTTATCAATTGCCCGACACTCCCGACGGTTCCGCCAAAGCTTCGTCCGATGAACATTCGAGCGGAGAGAGTCCAGCCGCTAGGCCACCAAGAAACAGGGGGCCAGAAATTCGAGAGCGCGTGAGTAGTTTACCGCCAAAAATGAGAGCGAATCCTGAAATTCTTAAAAAAATCGATGAGTTAATGGAAGAAAAAAAGCGTCTCTTAGAAGAGTTCAACAGGAGAGAAGATGCTCGAGATATTAGTCAAATGTTGCCTAGAAATGATTATAGGCCACCGGATTCGATGCCATTGGGTAAATATTACAATCCAAGGGACCCCAAAAATCCCAAATGGCCGGAATTTAAAATACCCATGTCTAAGCGCGAAAGACAATTAAGATCACTGGATGGAGATGAGCCGTCCCAGGAAGAAGAAGAACCAGCTCAAGATGAAAGTTTTGACGTTAGTATTATAGAATACGATCCGAAAACTTTAAAATATGCGCATTATAAAGACCATAGGCGTGCCGAATATCCCATCGACGACGAAGCAACGGTGGAAAAAAGAAAAGAGCATAAAAACAAAGTGTTCGGTGACGCGCTGAAAAAAGTCCTCAGAAAGGTCTCGAATATCAACATAAAACGAAACCAGGAAAAAGGGGTAAGCAAAATAGGACAACTATCGCCAAAAAGCCGCAAGGCGGTCATCGATTTGTCGCAAAACGTTTTTGTGCGAGAGGAAGACATCCAAGTGTCCGTGGAAAACTGCGAAAAAATGAAGCTCAAAAAGTTGGTGAAGCTAACAGTCCGTGACGTCTTGCACTTGTCTCGGCACAGCTTGGTTCTGCAGGCGAGCAACTACCCAAGAGGCGACAGCGAATGGGTGGACAATGTCTTTGATAACGGCGAGACTGCGACCGCTCGACGAGACGAACATCGCGAGAAGCCAAAAGGCTCGAAAAAAGAAAAGGCGCGAAAAGCATGTAGGCGATCGGCGTCCGAAAGTGCCGCAGCAGACTCGTCTCGCGGAGGCTTGGCGCAAGAGAACATACTTGGGGCTTCGGCTGGTGCCCGTCCACAAGAAATGAGACAAGAATCAAGTTGGGATATACCTTGGATCTCGGCTGGTGACCGTCCAAAATTACCGAGAGAACAATCAAGCTTGAATATACCTGGGACCTCGACAGGTGTCCGTCCAAAAGAACCGAGAGAACAATCAAGCTTGAAGAAGCCAATGGACAAACCTCGAGCTTCTTCAAGCACGGATGATAGTTCTGGAGAGTTACCGAAGAAACAGATGAAAATGCGACACGCGTCGGTACCATCCTCATTTCCACTTTATGAATCTTTCGAGGGGGAAAGATTCATCCCGTGCAAAAAGATTTTAATTCGAGATTCTAAAAGAGGACAAAAAGTCAAATATATGTTCCATGTGTATAAATCGGAAACCAACTTGAATGATAGCGAGTCGGATGATAGCAAAACTGACACCGCGGATGAGAACGGTCAAGATGAACCGAAGAAAAACGTTTGAAAAAGTACGAGGAATATTTTAGAATTGCATTGAACTATTTTTTGTATAATTTTACATTCTATGAATTAGAAATGACTACTTTTTAATATTATGTGAATAATATATTATATAGATAATAAGCTATTATTATTGATGTCGATAAACGAATAAATTTACATAAAATTATGTATGTAACATAACAATCAAAAATCTTGTGTTATTTTATACGTAAATTAAAAATTAAATCCTCCAATCTGAAAATCTTACGAAGATAAAATAAATCAAGCTCAGTCACGCGGCGAAGACATGTCTGGTGTACATTTTCTTGGAAAAGATACTTTTCCACCCCACACGGAGAAAACTTGCGGCTATCAACCGAGCTCGCACGAGATATTTTTATGGACACCAAGTCCCAAGGTAAGAAGGGGTAAAAAACAAGAAGGAGAAGAAGCCCGCCGCATCGCTCAGAGTAGGTACACGGACGCCTCGTCGACAGGTCGGTATTAATTAAAAGGCTCGATGGCAAAAAGCCGAGAGCATATTAATTATACTAACGCGTGCCTGACTCGCGAATCTCGAGCTTCTCCCGTCTTCTTCTGTTCTTTTCGCGATATATTCGTGTGCGCTTTATGCGGAGAAAATTTGTTGCGCGCGTGCCAAGCTCGGCGTGACGCGCGCGTATATATTAGCGATATTCATTATGATGTACCTCGTATGCAGTCGTCTTCATTACGCACTTTTTGCTGCTGCACAGCTCACTGATTTGAGCAGCCCGAGAGGGTGATGCTTATCGCGCACACAGCTATGTCTTTTATTGCGCCGTTACTGCGCGATATGTATATAGTGGGGTGTGCACCGCGCACGAGGATATACTATAAAAATGTACGTATCGTCGTATTCGCAGCATGAGCAGCAGCTCAGATTGTTTACTCGAGATTTGTGTAATTGGAAGTTTTGTTTAATGCGATAAGGATCTGATGTTTGCAGCTCCTTTTTAATCTGGCCACGCGATCGGTATACTCATGTAATATAGCGCGCGAGCGCGTGATTTTTGATTTATTTGACATTAGATCTATGCTGATGCTGCTTTCGAGGAGGGGATCTTAATTATACCCAATCGATATTGCATTATGTTTCCTTTATAAAAGTTTCTTTCTTTCATTCATTGGCCATTAAAATCGAACGTTTCCGGATGACGCCTATTTCGTGATGAATTTTCACTCTTTCGAAGACGACCTATTTTTTTGGAATTTCTAGAGTCACCTACTACCCAATCGATAAATCTGCTTAGTTCGACTGATTTTTCCTTTCATTCAATTTCACGAGCTGCGTGCTTATCGCACGGATAATTGAGTCTTTGCGCCGTGCGTGGCGTTGATACGCGATACGCCAACCATATAGAGGTAAAACACATGCAAGTGTGCGAATGCAGTTATGACTCGCAGCCGATCGAGCCTCGAGCTCTCGCGTGAGTGTGCGTGCATGTGCACGCAATAATTGTTCGACATAGGGTGTCGCGTTAAAAATCGACTCGCCGCTGCGCTACGCAATCTTATAAGGTGGAAATCAATTTTTTTCTCTTCCATCGACACACGTACAAGTACGTACGATAACTACGATTACGGAAGTTATTTTGTTTTGTTTTAAATATACGTTCTCGATTACGTCACATATCGCTTTACGCGCGAGGAAGCAACTTTTGTTATTGCTCCATTGGCGTATATCTGCTCGCGTCGTGCAGCGGCAAAGATACTATATACTATATACCGATCGTTGCGCGGCGCAGTGCCGGTGCAGCAGCAGGGCTCGAGCTCGAGCGCGCGGGAGTTATATCGTACGGCTCGTAGTAAGTTCGCGGAATGCAATTCAAGGTGTGCGCAGGCGAGCGAGCCATCATACGATACGTGTGTTTTTGCAGCGCGGCGCAGATTACGATACGAGGCTTACAACTCGTTTACTATAATAACCTGCCCCGTACTACTATCGCTGCTACTACGACTCGTGCCGTGTGTGGTCATATAGTACTACGTTATTATTATCCTTTTTTTACTCCTTACGATAGTAATTCGATTGCAGCTAGGCTGTGTGCAGCTGCTGCACTGCACTGCACGCACGCCGTATACGCTAATAGTAAATATTTTAAGAAGAATCGTCCGATATCAGCACTTTGCATGTCGGAGCTTCTATTTTCATATATAATGTACCGATCGAACGAGAGACGTCATGCGCGTGTGCAATAGCTGTGAAGTATAAGCGAAACTCGAGAAAGCGAAGTTTTGGACTGCAGCAGCAGCACGAGTTGTTCACCACCCGGTTTTATTATGTTTTTTTTTTCTTTTTTGCAACACACGCTCGAGACGACAGAATACACCTGCATTTTATAATTTGACAAAACTTCTTTCGCGGCGATTGCCCGTTGTGTTCTGCGTGCATATATAGGTCTCGGGCGAGCTTAATAAACCTCTAGCACGCGCGCGCGTCGATCTTACGTATATGTACGACAGAGAAAGAAAGAAGAAGGCGCGCGTTTACCGCGAATCGGCGCACATAGTCTCGTGAATTTAAAAGAGGGCCCTATTCGAATTACGAAGTTCGTTTTTTGTCTTCTGTGCTCTATATATAATATGTAGGTTCGCGCGCGCGCCGTTTTCTTTTACTTCGCTCGTCCGCGTGGGATCGGGTCCCCGAAGCTTGAAGTTTTTTAACATATATTAAAACGCACACACGAACTTACAAAACTTCGGCCGCTCGAAGTTTTCCGCTCGGATGGCTTCGGTCTCTTTCTCTTCTTCGCTTCGGACCGCGCAGCGCAAATTTTTACATGCGAGCTATTACTTATAGTTGCGCGAGTACCTGTGTGTCTGTGTGTGTAATATACATGTCGATTCGAGCCGGCGTTTTTGAGACTCCGCGACATCGAGGCTACCCCCGGGCGGACCGAGTAATACGAGAATTTCGGGCCACAGCAGCTCGACTGATCGTCCTGTCTCTCTTCGTCTCTTTCTATTCGACGATTTCGCGATACGAGAAGTTTGTGATGTAACTCGCCCTGCGAGAGGCGCGAAAAGCCGCAATCAAATCGATTGAAAGTCTATATATAGCGAGTGTATCATATACCTATGATGATCAACGAGGACGACATAGTGGCGGTACTCGGGGCATCTTGACAAGCGTCTCGAGTTTGACTCTTTTCGATGAAGAGCTGCTGCTGCTGCTGCAAAGTGTATTGTAATAATATGCTAGTCAAGTCACGAGACGAGCTACTATCGAATTTCCGGTAGCGAAGGTCCCTCAGCGATTGAATAATAATCGACGACAGCTCAATCGCCGCCTTTTAATATTACATTGTATTGTATTTACGAACGAAGATAAACGTCCGAGGCCCCCTGAGTCGAAGATATGCAGCGACGGTTGAGATGTTCCTAGGCCAATTTTTTTTTCTTCGCTTCAATTTTACTTAACTGGTCGCACGGGGTCGGACAGGGCGCATATAATATGGCACTGGGCCGAAGAGCAGCTCGAAGCTTGAATGAAGCGAACCATTTAAAAGGAATATGGCACTTTTAATTCTCGGTAGAGTAACGGTAAGTACCACCTACCCATTCGTACATAATATGTGGCAATACCTTTAAATCCATTGAACAGAAGCGGGGCTGTATGTGCTGCAGGTTCACCGATCTTTTCTCATTCTCTTCTTTACTTTTTTTTTATTTTGCTCCTCATTGGCGAGTCTTCTCTTTTCTTCGGTACACACACATATGATGTATGTACATGGGAGAGGAAAGATTCTCTTTCTCATCGCTCGTTTGCGTATGCATTAGACTGTCCGTTATTTCCCGAATTGCTCCAATCCTCGCTCTCACCCCTTGAAAGTTCATCATTTGGCTCACAATGAAAGAAAATCACTGTCCGACCGCGATTAATTAACTCTAGATAGTGCCACTCGCGTCAGCTTTTTTCCCATTTAAATAACATGGGAAAATTTAAAAAAAATGTAAATTGAAGTTTTAAACCACTTAAAATCGCTAAACCTTGGGTTTAGCGACGGTTTTCACTTCCTGGTACACCCATAATGAGTAACCAATACTTACGGGAACCCTCCGAAAAGAATTTTGGATTTTGCACACACGATATACTCAAAAAATGAAGAAAAACAGCATGTTGGCGTGGTTTTTCGATATTTTACAGCAAAACTAAGCATGAACGATCATTTTAAATATATTCACGTCAAAGTTGAGATCAAGACCTTTAATTTGAGGGTAATAAAACCTATTTACGTTCATTAGAACCAAAGTTACAGGCGTTTGAAGTTTCATTGAAAAATCAGGTATCGATTCTCGTCCGGCCGCCCAAACGCGCGACTCGCGGCTCGCTGTAATCGCAACTCGTACAAATGACCATGTAATTAAACTAGAAAAATAATTAAAAATATGATTTTTATGCGTTTTTTTCTCAGCTTTCACGTGGTGTAGTCGGATTTTTCGATAATTTTCATTTTCGTACGAAAAAATGGACTTGAACATTTATTTCCTATTTTTCCTAGTGAACGAGTAAATTATCGAAAAATCCGACTACACCACGTGAAAGCTGAGAAAAAAACGCATAAAAATCATATTTTTAATTATTTTTCTAGTTTAATTACATGGTCATTTGTACGAGTTGCGATTACAGCGAGCCGCGAGTCGCGCGTTTGGGCGGCCGGACGAGAATCGATACCTGATTTTTCAATGAAACTTCAAACGCCTGTAACTTTGGTTCTAATGAACGTAAATAGGTTTTATTACCCTCAAATTAAAGGTCTTGATCTCAACTTTGACGTGAATATATTTAAAATGATCGTTCATGCTTAGTTTTGCTGTAAAATATCGAAAAACCACGCCAACATGCTGTTTTTCTTCATTTTTTGAGTATATCGTGTGTGCAAAATCCAAAATTCTTTTCGGAGGGTTCCCGTAAGTATTGGTTACTTATTATGGGTGTACCAGGAAGTGAAAACCGTCGCTAAGCCCAAGGTTTAGCGATTTTAAGTGGTTTAAAACTTCAATTTACATTTTTTTTAAATTTTCCCATGTTATTTAAATGGGAA